CTCCAACACAGACTCCACCATCCTCCAACACGGGTTCTTCAATCCTCGAACGCAGCTTCCACAAACCACAAACACACAACCTCCATTATCCTAAAACACAGCCTCACCATCCTCCAACACAGCCTCCACTATTCCCCAACAAAACCTCTACCATCCTCCAACACCGCCTCCTCCAATCTCCAACGCACAGCATTCACTATCATCCAACACACAATCTCCACTATCTTCCAACACAGCCATCACCATCCTCCAACACAGACTCCACCATCCTCCCCGACAATCTCCACCATCCTCCAAAATAGCCTCGGTTATGAGGGACTGGTAGTTGCTCTGTGAAGGGCCAACAATTAAGGGCAAGGAGTTCCTAAAATAGTGGGAGTTAGGTTAGGCTTGGCCACCAGGGAAGACAATTCCCAGCAAATAATACTTGTCCTACAATGTCTGTAGTCTAAAGTTGATTAACCTTACTCCACTCCAAATAAGGTAAAAGGATATTCCTAATATAACCTTACAACTTATTTATTAACCCCCCCCCCCAATTAACCCACATATACAAAAATACAACAAGTTACTTTACCAACTCTATCTTACTTTAACCCCTTGAATCCACTTAGGCAAGAGCCAAGGATTACAGCCAGCAATCTAGTGGTAAAAATTACGTTCCTGAAGGGACAGAACTCACACTGGTATCACTGTAAACAGTGGCACACATGGTTTCTCTAGCCACCCCAAAGTAACACTTAGAGCTCTAAAACACTGGCTTTGAGAACACAAATAAATACACTCAAAAACCTAGCTAATGGCACAGTAATTTTATATTAAGATACTTAACTTGGTGGTACAGAATAAGGAGAGAGTAGAGAGGAGGATGTGGAGAAGTAAGGAAAATAGCCCACAAAGGTCGTAAGACCGCCTAAGAAGAGAGAGGATCAGTCCTGGGAACACTCTCATGGTCGCTGCCTGGACAATATTCAACTGATCGTACAGTAACCATCATTACAAGTCTTCCCTGACATTCCTTTTCTTGTTACTTTAACAATTCTAAGAATAGCTAACATCTAGCTCTATATTATATTAATATTCAATAAACACAGAGTCTGCCCGCTCTGTGAGCAACAAGATTATTTCTACGTCTTGCAGGGAAGACGGAACATAAACATACCCAGAATATAAGATACCTTGAATATAAGCATTACTATTAATTAAATATCCCTCCTACATAATCCAATCCTATCAATTAATGTTCTAATATTTATTTCATTAAGAACTCACACAAAATCCCTCAGTCAGGGCCTATCACTATCAAAATACTTGAGTGACTGATCCCTGCATGAATATAAAAGAATTCAATTTGACCTCTGGCTTTCTGGCAGAGCCAATTAAGAATCCATGGTCGTAACACTCCTCCCCCCTTCAGAGAAAAAAATGTGTCTACTAGAATAGTATTCATATTTTTTGTAAGATCATACAAAGAAAAGAAAGTCAACAACAGAAAAAAATATTCTCTGAAAGAAAAACATACAAAAAGGGACAGAAATTTTTTTAACTAGGAATAATTAATGTCACAGGAGAACCTAGAAAACTAAACTAAACATGACAGTTGGTACAAGGTTCCCTGTGGCTCAGATGTATGTTACTTAGGTAACCGGGACAGCACGTCAGCTATCATGTTAAGCCGACCCAGTAAGTGGATAATGGTAAGGATGAAGTCCTGTAGGTATAAGGCCTACCTGTGGATCTGTTTTTTTTCTCTTTCAACTGATGGATAAACACCAGTGAGTTATGGTCCGTATACACTACCACTATATTAGCCGTGAGATATATTTCAAACTTTTGACAAGCTAACACCAGCGCCAACACTTCTTTTTCTAACTGAATAATTGAGCTGAGCCTTGTCAAATTTCACAGAGCAATAGTACACTGGATGGTCCACTTGATCATCCCCAGTTTGCAACAACACTGTACCAGCACCCGAATCAAACACATTGACGTGAATTTTAAATGGTTTGTCGAACCTTGGACTAGCAAGCTCTGGGTTGGAAGCTAAGATCGCTTTCAAGTTTTTAAAAGCCTCTACACAGCCTGTTGACCACTTGAATTTAACAGCCTTTTGCAACAAGTTAGTTAAGTTAAGGGAGTTGCCACACTCGAGAAATTCTGACAAAAATGTCAGTAGTACCCACACACATACCAATAAATCTTTGCATGTTTTTCTTGTTCCGGAGCACTGGATACTCCAGAATGGCACTGATTTTATCTTGCTTAGGTAACACTTTTCCTTGGCCCACTTCATAACTGAGGTATGTCAGAGTGCCTTGGCCAAAATGACATTTTTCGCATTTAACGTTAAGTTTGCACTTTTCAAAACTGTGAACAACTGGTGTACCCTAGCTATGTCGTTTGCCCAGTTTCTATAAAAAAGCACAATGTCATCTAAATGCGCCCGACAATTTGGCATATTTGCCAGCAGAGAGTTCATTAACCGCTGTAATGTTGTGGGAGCATTACCCAGTCTGAAAGGTAGTACCTGATACTCACAAATGACATCAAGTGTTACGAGTGTTAGTTGCTAGGCACGTTCCATGAGTGGGATCTGGTAATATCCCTTCGAGAGATCAAACTTTGACACATATCACATTACGATCTCTTCGATATAGGGGGCCTTGGAGGGGCAGCAGGAAGTCATCCACGATGGTCACCTTGTGGAGCTGCCGATAGTCGGTACATAATCGCCAGGAGCCGTCTGGTTTGGGAACCAAAAGGCAGCGCGAGCACCAAGAAGGCCCTGGCTCGGCCGGATAAGGCCGAGTAGGAAGCTGGAGTAGGAAGTCGATTTCTTTCTGCACGATGGCCTTCTTTTCCAGACTCATCCGGTAGGGTTGAAGATGAATGGGAGTGTAGTCCGTCAACTTGATATCATGGTAGACGGCATCAGTCTGAGTCAGCACCTCCCCAAACAGACTGGAGAACTCGTCAAGTAATGACTGCACCACCTCTTCACACTGGAACATCTGCAAATGGGACAGCCTCTCCTCCACAGCATTTACAGAACTAGAATGATTGAAAATGGGATTAGTTGGGTCCCCAGAACAATTATCTCCTATCTCACTGGAAAAGGAAATATTAGTTAGAGCGATTGGCATGGTTCCCTGGAACTTCTTCAGATGGTTCAAGTGTACAAGCATCACCTGGTTACGCCTGTCAGAGTGCCTCACTTTGTATGTGAGGTCCCCAACCTTTTATGACACTTCATAGGCCTTCGTACTTTAGAGACATAGTGTTCCCCAATCAAGGCTTTCATACCAGGACAGGGTCACCAGGCTGAAATACCCTCAATTTAGCCTTAGCATCGTGTCGTTCCTTCGTACTATTTTGGGTGTTCCCGAGATATTTTAGTGCTGCCGCCTTACATTCACTGAGTCTCTGGTGGCGTTGCGCAAAGAAAGCCGAACCTTCGGTCAATGTTCCGTTAGCCAGCAGATTCTCCTATAACATTTGTAAGGGTCCACAGACCTTATGGCCAAAGACTAACTCAAAAGGAGAACAATCCAGTGAACTCTGTAACCCCTCTTGAGCAGCAAACAAAACATATGGCAAGTTCTCATCCCAAGCCCTGTTAGAAATTTCACACGATGTCTTAAGCATCTGTTTCAAAGTTTGATGGAACTGCTCAATTACCTCCTGACTCTGTGCATGATATGGGCTAGAAACCTTATGAGTTATTCCTTTGTCCTTACAGAATTACTCAAAATTATCAGACATAAAGTTAGTACCATTGTTGAACCTGACCAAGTTAGTACCAAGTTTGAACGACCCGAGGCAGTCCAAAAGTAGAGAAGTAAATTGTCCAAAAGTAAATTGCAACATACGAGCAACAACAGTTTTTGCTTGGATGTTCCTTACAGCTAAAGCCTCAGGGTAATGGGTCATGATACACATCATGGTTATCAAGTAAATGTTACCAGCCTTAGTTCTAAGCAATGGACCAACACAGTCCATTGCCACATGAGAAAATGGCTTCTCCGGCACTACAATAGGCCTTAGAGGAGCTTTAGGTGATGCCTGGTTGGGTTTCCAAATAAGCTGATATGGGACACAAGAACTACAATATTTTGCCACATCGCTTTTCAGCTTGGGCCAGTAGAAATGTTTAAAGATCGTATGATATGTAATGTTAATGACTTGATGTCCCCTCATAGCATCATCATGAGCAGCTGCCAAGACCTTCTCTCTATAGCAGGTAGGCAGCATTATCTGGTGTACTGTCCTCTCACTCATTTGGCAAGGGAGAACTCTGTGGTATCCATTTTCTCATCAAAATCTGATCCTCATTTTAGTAACCAGTCACTGTGTCTACTATCTCCTCCTTAAAGAGAGCTACATCGTGACATTCTGCAAAACTGGGAACAGCCTTCTATAGTTCACTCAAGGTGACTCCCATGCCTTGGTCAGATGCTATTGGCCGAGTACCAACAGTGTTCTCCTCATTCTCACTACTCTCGGTAGGAGTTGATGGTAGGCTCTCCACAGTGTCCTCGGCCTCATCATTGATCTTGGCCATGAACATATCCGTAAGCTCCACCAGGCTTTCATCACTCGGAAAGTTCCTTGTAGCCTCGGGATTTTCTGCCTTGGCAGCCACAGGGCTGCCCTTACATTTAAGACCCATAGACCCATGGTCACCACACACCCAGGGTACACAACATTATCCTCTGCGGCAGGTAGATCCAGGAAAACCTTAGGGGTAGGCAACATAATAGGCAGTCTGGAGTCCCTAACCTTATCCCCTGCTAAATCATTAGCCAATATTGTATCAACATTAGGGAAAGGTAGGTAAGGAGTGACTGACTGTACAAATATCCTTGTGGAAATCAGATTCCAGGGTTACCTTATGGAGGGATACTGGTTGAATATCACTTGTGACAACCTCGACCAGTACTACCTCTCTAGTGTCGATAGTATGGGCACCTTGCAATGCACTCTCCAAAATTACAGTCTGGATGGCACCGGTGTCTCGGAAGGTCACCACCTCCTTCCAGGAAGAACTGTCACAGTTTAAAAGTTTCTCCTTCGACAAGAATGGAGTAAGCAGGCCCAGCCACTTTGGATTGGGAGTCTTACTCTCTAACCCGTCAGAAGTCCTCAAGCCTTGTGTCACAACAAGAGCATTGGGCCTTTTTTCTGGGTACAGTTGCCAACATCGGCTAGTAGTGTGTTCTGAACGTTTGCAATGACCACAGTATCTTTGGTGAGAAGTGACATTACTACCAGAGTTCCCCCGTGATTTACTCTTAGGTGCCTTGGGGTTAGACAATTTAACCTGGTTAGTTTTGTCTCAAATAGAAGGTGCAATAGTTACAGGGTTAGAATGGGCTGGTCTGGACTGGCTGTGGGTATAAGGTTTGTTACCATAAGGACATAATTAGTTTTAATGGATATTTTGCCCGCCATCTGGTAGTTTTCTGCCATCTTGGCCAAATCCATATTATTTGTATCAATTTCCTTCCTCTCTGTGAGGTACCATCTTCAGAGGTTATCTTGAGATGATTTCGGGGCTTTAGTGTCCCCGCGGCCCGGTCCTCGACCAGACCTCCACCCCCAGGAGGCAGCCTGTGACAGCTGACTAACACCCAAATACCTATTTTACTGCTAGGTAACAGGGGCATAGGGTGAAAGAAATTCTGCCCATTGTTTCTCGCTGGCGCCCGGGATCGAACCCAGGACCACAGGATCATAAGTCCAGCGTGCTGTCTGCTCGGCCGACTGGCTCCCTTGCCACCTATCCATGCCACCAGCTCTGACATGTTACCTATAAATCCTTCAACTAAAAATAAATTTTTGAGTGCCTCATTCGCCTCGGCTTTAGCTGAGCAAATCTTTTTTTTTCAAACAATCTTATTTGGTTATTTGCAAATTCCGTAAGAGGTTGATTGTGTGTAGATTTAAGGTTGCGATAGGCCTGGCGGTGAGCTTCAGGAGTAACTTTATATGCCCTCAAAATCTGTTCCCTGACTCTTGCTCTGCCAGTATTAATTTGGCTATCTCTAACTCTAATTCTCTGTTCCTACTAGCTGCACTTCCAGCGGGAGTGGGCAGGCATAAAGCTGTGTCAATTGGCAATATATCTTGTTCTATGCAATGTTGTAAAATTTCATTGAGCAAAATCCACTTTTTATCAGTTTCATTTAAATCTAGACCAAACTCCTTTCCTAACACTAAGTTAGATTTGGTCAGCTACTTAATCTCTACCACTCAGGGTGTATCTGCCAGTTCCTGCATATTTATCCTCAATCACTACTTATTCTGGATACTGGCTAAAATAAAAATTAAAAAAATACAAAAACTTACACGGCCCCTGTTAAAAGACAACACTTACTTCAATTGTGAAGAATCCAGTTAGATGTCCAGTCAGTGCAATATGTATCCTTTGCTAGTTGAACTGGACCCTAGGCTACCACACAACTGTTCCTAAGAAAGTAACAAAAATTAGTTCCGACACTCAAAAACTTAAATTTTTAAAATTTATAAAAAATATGTACATTCCCGGACAAGCTAACCATTTGTTATGGGGGACTGGTGGTTGTTCTGTGAGGGGTAATAGCTAAGGTCAAGGAGTGCCTAAAATATTGGAAGTTAGGGTAGGCCCAGACTCCCAGGGCAGACAATTCCCAGCAAATAACACTTTCCCTAATCTAACTGTTGTCTAAGAGAGATCAACCTACTCCCTTCCAAAATAGGGTAAATGGAGAATCCACAATAACCTTAGAACTTATTTATTACCCCCTTAATAACCCCCCCATACAAACATACAGCAATACAAGAATGCAACAAATTACTTTACCGCTCGATCTTACGTTAACCCTCTTGAATCCACATAGGCAGGATACAAGGGTTACAACCAGCAACTTAGGGTAAAGTCTATGTTCCTGAAGGGACACTTGAACACACTTAGATATCACAGCAAATATTGGTCCATCTGGTCAGTCACCTTAAGCCACTCCCAGAGTAAAAGTTTGGGCTCAACACTGGCTTAAAAGACACCACTAAATAACGTGGAACACAGTGGCACTAATACTCTAAGGTTAGGTACTCAACTTGGTAACAGAGTAAGGAAAGAGAAGAGAGGAGGAGGAGAAGAGGTGAGAAACAAAACCCACAAGGTCGGGAGCGACCGTTCACTACCCAGACTCAGCCAAGAAGAGGGAATCAGCTCTCTGGGAGTGCTCTCGAGATCACTGCCTGGACGATACTCAACTGATCGTACAGCAACAATCATTACAAGTCTTCACAGACATTCATTTCTAGTTAATTTAACAATTCTAAGAATAGCTAATATCTAGCTCTATATTATATTATTATTCAATTACCACAAGAGTCTTCCAGCTTTGTGAGCAACAAGGTTATTCCTAGGTCTGGCAGGGGAGACGGGAACATAAACACAAGGATCCAGGTCCCTTGAATATATAAGTTATATTGGTAATTAAATATCTCTCTTACATAATCCCATCCTATCAATTAATGTTCTAATATTTATTCAATTAAGAACTCACACAAAATTACTCAGTCAGGGCCTATCACAATAAAAAACACTTGAGTGACTGATCGCTGCATGAATATAAACGAATCCAATTTGACCTCTGGTTCCCTGGCAGCGCCAATTAAAAAACCAGGATCGTAACACACAGCCTCCATCATCCTTCAACACAGCCTCAACCATCATTCAACAAAGCTTCAACCATCCACCAACAATGCCTCCACTATCTTTCAATACTGCCTTCAACATCCTCCAACAAATCCTCCACTCTTTTCTAAAACAGACTCAAACATCCTCCAACACACAGCGACCTACATCCTCCAACACAGCCTCCAATATCCTCCAACAAAGCTTAAACTACAATCCACAACAATCTCCACCATCCTCAAACACAGACTCCACCATCCTCCAACACAGCCTCCATCATTCTCCAACACAGCCTCCATCATCCTCCAATACAGCTTCCATCATCTTCCAAATACAGTATCAGTCATTCTCCAACACACCCACCACCATCCTCCAACGCAGTATCTACCATCCTCCAACACAGCCGACCCCTCCTCCACTACAACCTTCACCATCCTCCAACACAAACTCCCCAACCAGTCCCAGAACCTCCACCATCCTCCAATATATCCTACATCATCCTCCAACAATACTTCCATCATCCTCCAACACATCCTCCAAAATCCACCACCACAATCTTAACAATCTTCCAAAATATCCTCCACCATTCTCCAACACACAGTCTCCATTATCCTCCAACATCTTTCAACAAAGCCTTCACCATCCTCCAACTAAACCTCCACCATCCTCCAACAAAGTCTCCACCATCTTTCATTGTAGCCTTCAACATCCTGCAACAAATCCTTCATTCTTTTTTTAAACAGACTCCAACATCCTCCAACACATAGCCACCTACATCCACCAACGCAGCCTCCAATACCCTCCAACAAAGCTTACACAATCCTCTACCCCAATCTCCACCATCCTCAATCACAGACTCCACCATCCTCCAACTAAGCCTCCACCATCCACACAACAATCTCCACCCTCCTCCAACACAGCCTCCACAATTATCCTAAACAGCCTCCACCATCAGTCAACACACATCTTCCACCATCCTCCACCACACAGCCTGCACCATCCATCAATGCAGCCTCCACCATCCTTTAACGCAGCTTCCATCATCCTCCAACAATGCCTGCGCCATACTCCAACACAGCCACCACCATCCTCCAACACAGCATCCACTATCCTCCAACACACAACCTCCACTACCCTCCAACACAGCCTCCATCATTCTCCTGCACACAGCCTCCATTATCCTCCAGTACAGTCCCCAACCTCCTCCAACACAGCCTCTACCATCCTCCATCATCCTCCAACAAAACATCCACTATTCTTCATTACAGCTTACACAATCCTCCTACACAGCATCCACCATCCTCCAACACACAGTCTCAGCTACCCTCCAACACAGCCTATACTATCCTCCAACAAAGAGTCCACCTTCCTTCAACAAGGCCTGAATTATACACATTCTCCAACACAGCCACCACCATCCTCCAACACAGCATCCACTATCCTCCAACACACAACCTCCACTACCCTCCAACACAGCCTCCACCATCCTCAAACTCACAGTCTCAACCATCCTCCAACAAGACAGCAACAATCTTTCAAAACACAGCCTCCACCATCCTGAAACATAGCCTCCACCATCCTCCAACACAACCTCCAACTAAGTCTACGTCATCCTCGAACACATCCTCCCCTATCCTTCAACACACAGCTTTCATCGTCTTTCAACACAACATCCATCATCCTCCAACATAGCCTCCTCCATCCTTTAACACACCCTCCATCATCCTTCAACACAGTCTCCACCATTCTTAAACAGACGGTGTTCATCATCCTCCAACACAGCCTCCGTCCTCCAACACATTCTCCCCCATGCTCCATCACAGCTTCCATTATCTTCAAACACATACTATTCCTCCACATACACATACTATTCCACAGACTCCACCATCCTACTTTCCACAACCTCCACGATCCCCAAACACAGCCTTAACCATACGCCAACACAGCCTCCACCATTCTCCAACACAACTTCCTCCATCCTCCAAGACATCCTCCAACACAGACTCTATCATTCTCCAACGCTGCCCCCACAATCTTTCAACATTGAGTCTGTAACACGATAAACGTATTTTGTTTAATACTAGCCACGGCCACGCGTTTCTGTGGCTCAGCAACGCACATGCGTTCCTGAGCCACAGAAACCTTTCCCTGTCTGCCAGTCCTCCCCACCATTTCCACCGTCCCATCCCCATGTCCTCCCAACCATTTCTCACTCCCCCGTCCCCTCGTCCTCCCAACCATTCCCCATTCCCCCGTCCCCTCGTCCTGCTAACCATTCCCCATTCCACAGTCCCCTCGTCCTCCTCCTCACCATATCCCACTCCAACGTCCCTTTGTCCATCTCCACCATCCCTAACTCCCCTGTCCCGTCGTCCCCCACCATCCCCAACTTCCCCATCCCCTAGTCCTCCCCACCATTACCCCCTCCCCTGTCCCCTCGTCCTCCCTTAATATCCCCCACTCCCATCCCCTCGTCCTCCCCACCATTCCCCACTTCCTTGTCCGATGCATTCCCAAATGATCTGATGTTCCCCAAATAAATTGGGAACATCAAATGATCTGATGTTCCCATCACTGAAATTTAAGAAAAACTGTCATATAAAAGAAATTAAAATCCATGAAAAAATAAAAAAATAAACTATACTCATGAAATGAAGGGTATGATAAACAACTCAGCTCAGTTCTGATGCAATGTCGCACAAAATAATTGAATAAAAAAAATAAATAAATCGAAATCTATGAAAATTCAATTTATCAATGAAATTGGAAACACTGAAATGGATTCGTAACATATTTATTATAGTGTGTGTTGCTCTTACTTGCAATTAATGACGCTGTTTTTTTTTTCTTATGTTTAAAAGCATGTTTTCACCTGTCATAGGTGTGGCATCTATATTTATACTCACAAAATGAATGGTATGGTAAACAACACAGCTCAATTCCAATGCAATGTCACACAAAATTATTAAATAAAAATGAAAATATATCGAAATCTATGAAAATTCAATTTATCAATGCAATCGGAAACAATGAAATGTAATCGTCACATATGTAGGATAGTGTGTGTTGCTATTACGCGCGAAAGATGGTGCTTTAAAAAAAAACATGTTTTTACCTGTCACAGGTGTGGCATCTATATAGTAGATATATAAAAACGCACATATTCGAATGCAAAGTTGTGTCAAAATTTCAAAGCAATCGGTAAAAAGGTTTCGAAGATTTCCCTCACATGAAAAACACAGCTTTTTAAAAAAACATGTTTTTCCTGTCACGGACATTGACATCGATACAGTATGTATATAAAAACTCGCTCAGATGCGAATGGAACGTTGAGTGAAAATTTCAAAGAAATTGGCGTAGAACTTTCGGAGATTAGCGATTTTGAACAAACGAACATTTACATTTTTATTTATATAGACTTGCAGTACCTGGCCAGGCGTTGCTGTGGCTCAGCAATGCACATGCATTGCTGAGCCACAGCAACCTTCCCTGTCCCTCAGTCCTCCCCACCATTCTCCTCTCACCTGTCTACCTCGGCCTCCCAACCATTCCCCACTCCACCGTCCCCTTGTCCTCCCCACTGCATCCCACTCCCCTGTTCCTTTGTTCTCCCCATCATTCTCCATTCCCCCATCCCCTCGTCCCTACCATCCCAAACTCTCCCGTCCCCTTATCCTTCCCCACCATTACCCCCCTCCTTTGTCCCTTCGTCCTCCCGACCATCTCTCACTTCTGTTCCCTCGTCATCAACACCATTCCCCACTCCCTCGTCTGATGCCTTCCCAAATGGTCTGATGTTCCTATCAGAAAATTCTGAACATCAAGTGTTCTCATGTTCCCATCACTGAAATATAAGAAAAACAGTTAAGAAATTAAATGAATATATGAAAAAATAAAAAAATGAATGGTATAGTAAACAACACAGCTCAATTCCAACGCAATTTACACAAAATAATTAAATAAAAACGAAAATAAATCAAAATCTATGAAAATTCTATTTATCAATGCAATCCGAAACATTGAAATGGAATTGTAACATATTTACAGCGCCATCATGTAATAGATGGCGCTGTTTTTCATAAACGCATGTTTTTACCTGTCACAGGGGTGGCATCTATATAGCAGGTATATAAGAAGACGTGCCTATTCGAATGCAACATTGTGTCAAAATTTCAAAGCAATCGGTGAAGAACTTTCAGAGATTACAGAGTGTGTTGCTCTTACGTCCAACAGATGGCGTGGTTTTTAAAAAAAAACTGGTTTTTCCCTAAACACAGGTGAGGCATGTATATAGTAGATATATAAAAAGACACGCCTATTCGAATGCAACGTTGTGTCAAAATTTCAAAGCAATCGGTAAAGAGGGTTCGAAGATTTCCCTCACATGAAAAACACAGTTTTTCAGAAAAAGCATGTTTTTTTTTTGTTTTTTTTTACAGCCACAGACGTGACATCTATATAGTATTTATATAAAAACGTTCTCAGAAGAACTTTCGGAGATTAGCGGTTATGCACAAACGAACATTTTCATTTTTTTTATATAGATGTACGTATAACATGAGTCAACCAGACAGGATATTGAAAGGCGCCAGGCTGTCTGTCTCTTAGCAATTAAGAAGTCACACCTAGAAATTTAATGGTCAGCGGTTGCCTTCGGGTCAGGTTATGTGAATTAACCTTGCTTTCTCCTAAGCTGATAATTGCAGACGGTTGTTGGTGTCTTTCCATCAAACAAGCCGCTGTTTAGGCGTGGTAGGTAGAGAACCTGAGGCTCTTACTGGTAGGTGGGGCTTAGCTCCCTGATTCCCATAAATACCCACGGAACTGTACATTCAGAAGATCAGAACTGACATTGAGCTGATAAGCTGGAGCTGAAACTCTCCCTGGACAGATGTAATAGGACCCATTATCACCACACCAGAAATAAATATCTCTTTGATATCCCCAGAGTCAAACTTAATCTGTGTAAACACTCTATGCAAATAAAGGGACCCAGTCTATGGAACTCACTCCCTATTGAATTGAAAAGCTGTCCAACTTTTGCATCATTTAAAAACAATACTAAAAAGTACCTAATTTCATCTTCATAGTTTTTTACCTTGTTGCTTTAAAATTGCACTGTATCTATTGCTACTCAATCTCCCAGTCTTTATGTACTCAATCTGAACATCTTTACCATTGTGATCATTGCTGTCTTCTTATATGTGCTGTCAATCTGCTGTATGGTGTCTATTAATCTTGTTTAAATTACCAATCAAGCTGTCAATGTAATCAAAAAGAGCTTTTATATACCAATGTGCTTTAATATACTAACTAATCTCTCTCATCTCATTTTTTTTCTTGCAATGTATTTGTTATCATTTTATTAATTCTGATAGAATTTACCTACTTAAAATTATCTGTTAGATTAAGGACCTGCCTGAAACGCTGCGCGTACTAGTGGCTTTACAAGATTGCAATTACTGTACTATGCTATGTATTCTCATAAACCCAATGTACCTTCTTGTATATAAATAAATAAATAAATAAATAAATAAGCGAGGCCGTAGCCAGACCAGGCTGTCAGACCGGGTGGAGGCTCCATCTGTCAACCGTATACCCACCCCCTCTCTATCCAATTTAGATTCAGAGACTTATTGAGTTGAACTTTAAGATGACAAATTTGGTGAGTTTCCAACTTAAGGTGCTGTGTGATTTTCAGGGGCAGTCAACCGTAGTGTCCTCAAATTCTTGTGTGGTGACTCGCCTTGTATGTTATTGTTGTCATTTAACGTCCAAAGATATGAATGAATTTTGAATTCCATCTGAGTGAAGATCTTATGTTAAATATTTATAAGATTAAGTTATGCTTTTAAATTGTCTTTAATTTTGTTCCCTAAAACTTCTTATTTTGAAAGCTACAGTGGAGAGCCTCTGAGCTTACTGACTTAAAGATTCTTGCATGTACAAGTACATGATTCCAGTTGACACATGCTAACATTTGATAACAGCTTAAAGTAGAGACAAGTTCCATTCCTTGTCTTATACATAACTAACTTGAATGGATGTTGGAGCAGCTTTCATCCTTTAACCAATTCTTCTTTCTACTTCTTCTTTCTACTCTTCTAATTCCTCCTTGATCTAAGTCTCTCTCTCCCATTCTAAACTTTCCCTTTCCCCGAACATCCTCGCTACTCCCATATTCCTTCCTCACACATTCGTCACCCCTCTTTACCCTCTCACCTCATATCCACACCCATTTCTTTATTTATTCCATTAATTCCTGTGCATATTCAATTTTCCGATACGTTACAATGATGGCAGCAGTGTTGGATAATGTTTAATGTAGAGTGTTAGTTAACATTGTTCAGTCTCACTTGTCCTTTGCCGCTCAGGCGCTATCAGAAAGACTTTGCCAGTGTTTAATATTCGCGATTTAACGAGTTTTCGGGTTAGGAGATAGTGTTTCTCTAGCGATGTGTTCTAGAGATTTTGGGAGATTTGTGAAGTTCAGGGAATGTTCACCAGAACTTGGGTGTGAGTGAGATTTATTTTAGCGGTTGTATTTGGCGATTTGGAAACTTAATTGGCGATAGCTTATGGCCAGCTGAGAGACAGGTGACCCGCTGGTTCCCAAGGGGTCACTGAGCCGTGGCTGATTTCCAGGTCAGTTGTGGAATAATAGGTGTGGTGTAGTTATTAAGTAGTTTTAAGTGGTGGTTCTGTTCATGTTATCGCGATTGATTAATTTACTCCATTTGCACTCAATAATATTGAGGTGTACTAGATTGTACAGCATACTAGGGGAGGCTTAGTGTGTCAGTGGACTTCATGTTTGGGACACTCGACGTTTGATAGTCTAGTCACGGGTTGTGGCAAAAGTTTTGAGTTGTGAATCCGCAAATAATTGGGGGAAACATCTTTGGGACACGTAGGTGGCTATAGTTTAATTGTGGGAGTAACAGCTAATTAAGTACTTTAAATTAGGAGCAATATGGTTAGGTCAGATAACTGTTTTATATTTCGAGGGGAATCGACATTTTATCGTGGAGATTGTTTTTATGAGTGACAACTTGAAAGTAGT